TTCTGAGCCTCACCTCTGTTGATCCCCAATTTCTCACCTGATGGCCCCCCTGCGACTGTGCCTGTCTTAGGTTGTTCCTCCCTTGAGGAATCTTACCCGATAAACAGACTAATTTTATAATCATAACATAACCATAATTTCATGATCCTGCCTGGCAAAACTGGTAATAATTTGTTAATTCATCTAATAATCAGGCCATGTTCAGTTGCCCCCAGTTGTCTCAAGATGTCTTTTTATAATTGTTTTTTTTACACCAGGATCTAAACAAGATCTACATATTGCATTTGATTGGTAGGTCTCTTAAGTTTCATCCTTTTTTTTTATATATATATAAGTTAAATACAGACTTCTATTTAGGTAGTTTATATTTTTCCTACTTCCTAAAACAGGCATCAGATTTCTAAATGGAAGGAAAAAGTCTTAGCTGAAGAGCCATATATTAGATATTTAGACTGGTCTAAGAAAACTAATGAATTGAATAAATACTAAAAGTGCACATTCAGAATAGAGTTTTACAGGCATGCACAAGAACTGAGGTGTGAGCTTTGTGACCCAGGGCAGGTTATCCAGCCCCCAGGAAGGAGCCCATCTCATCAGATCAAGGGGGAGCTCCCACCTGGTGGGGAGGGTGGTGATGGGTGTTCTGGGCGGGCTTCTCTGTTACAAAGAACAGGGGCCACTCCAGCGGGCTCAGGTCAGGGAGGGTGACGGGGCTGATGTGTGGTGCCTCCCAGCACCCAGAGCAGAAAACCTGATGGGTTCCTGACTCCCAGTGAATGGTTCTGATTTATTCCAAAAATCACCCACCTAGAGTCTGCAACTTTTGTTTGTTTTATTTCTGGCTTAATTTTTTAATGGATTTCTTCTTTCTTTCTTTTTTAAACTGAGATATAACTTATATACAGTAAAATACCTAACAGCTCAGGGAATCTTTACATACATACATCCCTCTAGTTACCACCCTCATCAAGACAAAGATCAGAGGTCAGCTAACTCAGGCTTGTGGACCAAATCCCAGCTGCCACTGCTTGTGTAAAGAGAGCTCTGTCAGAACACAGCCACACCATGTGTGTGTCTCCTCTACGGCTGTGTGGGTAGCTGCCACAGAGCTTGGACGGCTTCAAAGCCGAAAATCTTTATTAGCTGGCCCTTTAAGACAGAGTCCGTTGACCCCTGATACAGAGCCTGTTTGGCGCCTCTTTTGTCCCTGCCCAGCTGATGTCTCCCCACCAAGATAACTACCCTTCCGATCTGTATCACTGTAGGTTAATTCGGCCTGGTTTTGAGCGTCATGTGAATGAACTGTTATAGTTCTTCCTCAGCATCCTGCGTGAGGCCCATCCATGCTGTGCAGCACGTCCACTCTGGAGCACGTGCCCCTTCCCATGCCACAGGCTGGCTCCTGCCCCGGCAGTGCGTGCTCCCAGGGCCTGCCCCCTCTCTCCACGGGCGGGGTTCCTGACTCTCTCGGTCTCTCTCTCTCCCAGTCATCTATCTATTTCTGAACCATGAACGCCATTGAAAATGTGCTCAAATAAATGAACAGTTGCTGACACGCTCAGTGAAAGATTAAAATTAGTTGCTGCTGTTTTACTTTTTCTCCCTGTGTTAGAGCGATGTCAGAAATCCATCCTGAGTTCATGAAGTTTTGCCTCTCCGAAAAAGCAAAGGTGGGTGAGAGAAGATCCTGTTATTTTTAGCTTCACCTAAAAGGGTGGTTGCAGGACACATTCCCCTGTGGGGGCGCTGAGGGGAGGCAACTTGGTCTAGGGAGGCGAGTAATGCAGCCATCAGTCAGCAAAGAAGAGATGTGATCCTACTTGCACCTCAGATTGGTGAAGCAGTCACCGTTTGTACTCTTAACCCAAAACTGCACACATAATCTAAACAGGTTCACGGACTCCAGGCGAAGAATGTCGGTGTAAGAGTCTATTCCCCTTGAAAATAGGCAGAGCCTTTCTGTGCTTTAATTCCCAAAAGAATGTTATTGGTCAAGGTAATATTTTTAATGAGGCCACACAGATCCCAGTCCCTGGTCTTTCCATGGATTAACTGTCCTCAGGTCAGGCTCTCAACCCTGGTTTGCATCAGTGCAGTGGGTCTGAGGAAAGAGTGAGACAGGGTCCTGTGCCCTCACACATGGGCCCTGGGCAGTGGGGGTGGGTGGGGCCATTCCCCTTAGAAGGAGGTGAAAGCAGAGCAGGTGTCCTCAGGTGTGGTCCAGGAGCCTTGGAGAGGATTGATGGAAATTGCTCAGTAAATGCAGCACTGAAGCCAAGTAGATAGTCAGTTAATGTAGCTACAGTGAGGACAATCTTTACTCGGGATATGAGTCAGCTCCGGAGAACCCCTTCCTCTGCTGGGCTCTTCTGACGCCCCCTCTCAGGCATGCTGAAGGCACTGGTAACTGTTGAGAGCAGGTATTAAATGTCCACGGGCTGACAGGCTGGTGGGACACGGGCACTTGATGAGAACACCCGTTTAAAGAGATTAGAGGAGGGAAATTAAAAATGCCCTTCAAGTCATTAAAATACAGGGGGGTTTGAGGGTTTTTGAAAAATGAATTGCTTCAATAAATACTTAAATTAAGACTAAATAAAGATATTGCACAGCAATCTGAATAGGAATATTGTCTGAATGATTACAAAAGTTGTTCCTTTCATCTCATAAATGTATGTAATTAAACCGGTGTCACAGTTTGCTCTTGCATGGTGGCAACATGACAGAAGTGCAGAATTTTTACTCCACTGCAGGCTAATTAGGATGATGTGAGATTCTATTTCTTATTTGCAATGCTCTTTTGAATTTCGTGCTCAGATCCCCCTTCCTCTTTCAAAAGCTGACATCTAAGTAGTTATAAATGGGCCTCCCAAGTCAGAACTTGAGTAGGATTTGGCTCTATTCTCTTTTCACCTCAAATTAGTTCAGGCATCAGTAATGATTGAATGAGTTTTAATAAAAGAAGATAGAACCTGTATTCTGGAGAAGGGGCCAAGGAAGTCTGCTTCATTCAGGACTCAACTAAGAGGGCCTACACTGCTTCCAGGGCGAGAGAGAAGTCCAGCCGTCTTTGGATTTTGTGTTTAGCCTCTTGCTTTGGGGAATTCCTTTTAGAGGAGATATTGTTTTCTCTCAAGGTGGCAAGATAATGTAGACAAAGTCCAAGGATCATCTGTACTTATAGCCCAGCACACAGGTCACTTATACTGGGTGTGTTGCAGTGGTGAAGGGTTTCCTCATCTGTAGTGTGAAGGGTGTAAACACATCCACATGTCCATTCATTCACCTCCCTAGTTAGCATGTCCTCGGTGCCTAGAACCCATGAAAGAATGTGCTCAGTGAGTGTTAGGCTTCAAAGGACTCACCAGCAGGGAAGAGAACACAGCACAGGGGTTAAGAGCCCAGATTCCAGAATTAGATGCCTAAGCCTCAGCTTCCCTTCTTATGAGCTGTGGACCCTTAGATAATTTTCTCTATCTCTCTAAACTGTTCTTTGTGTTTAAAATGAAGATATTCATGTAATATTGCAGGACAGCTGTGAAGGTTAAATAAGATAATACCTGCAAAGCACACTGCACAACAGAACAATCCATATAAGCTGCTAAATTATTATTGGTAAGTGCATTTAAATTGCTCTAATATAGCTATGTTAGGTAATGCTTGAGAAACACTAAGATGGGAGCCATTAATTCTTCCTGGAATAGACTGACGGCAAGCAGAATTTCAGAGGAGGGGATACTGAGTTGGGTTTTATAGAAAAAGTAGGAGTTTACAATGCAGAGAGGGTGGTAGAAGATAGTAAGGGCAAAGGCGTCCATGTGTGAGAAGAAAATTCACAGAGAGAATATTGATGTTTTCAGATTAAACCACTGGTACATACAGAGTGGCAAAGATAAATCTGTAAAGGAATAAATCTGGGGCTACTTTATAAGCAGCATACTAGTTAGAAGGCTGTTAATTACTTATAACACAAAACCCAGCCTGAACTGGCCCAAACAATAATAATGGTTTACTGTGTTTTGGCATAACTAAGTTTATGGCTTTTACAAATATGGATGGAAAGGTTTAGGTTATCACTGGCTTGATCCCACGACCAATCACAGCACCAAGGAGCCAGTTTCTTTACATTTCTCTTCCCTTTTGCAGTATCTTCTTCATCCTAATACTGGGTGTCCCACAGAGTGGCTGCCAACTACCAACGTTTATACTTACCGAATTATAGATAAGTTATGATGATAAGAGAGTTCCTGTATACTTCACACCCAGTTTTTCCTATTAACATCTCACGGTAGTAGGACGCACGCCATTAGGAAGGTAGTATCGATACATCATTAACTGAAGCCGAGCTCTGTCCAGACTGCCTCAGTTTCCACCTAGCATCCTAATGCCCCTGGTCTGTCCCAGCAGCCTATCCAGGAGACAGGACGCCTAGTCACCATGTCCCCTCAGGGTCCTCTAGACCATGACAGTTTCTCAGCCTTGCCTTGTTGTTGATGACCTTGGCAGTGGTGAGTGGTACTGGTCCGATATTTCACAGAATGCTCCTCGGTTGGGGTTTCTGATGGTTTTCTCATGATTAGACCGGGGTACAGTGTTTGGGAAGGGGGACTATATGGTACGGTGCTATCTCATCACATCACACCGAGGGCACATGCCATCATCTTCACTTACCAGTCGATGCTAATCTTAATCGCCTGGCTAAAGTAGTGTTTCAAGGTTTCTCGGGTGGGAAGTTGCTCTTCTTCCCCCTTCTGTACTGCACTCCGTGGAAGGAAGTCATTTTGTGCAGCCACACCTATGGGTGAGGCATTGTGCTCTACCTCGTGTGGACAGAGTATATGCATAAATTACCTGGAAGTCTGCAGAGGAGACGTGTCTGCTTTCCTCATTTATGTAATTGCTCAATCGCTGGTTTAGTTTGGTATGGATTCATTTTACACTTTGGTTTTTAATTCAATACTTGATTTTTATGGCTCATATTGTTCCATCTTTGACCATCGTGAACTCTTGCAGCTGGCCACTGTGTCCCTTCAAGGACGTGTGTGTTTGTGTGTGTGCTTTGTGTTTTGAGCACTTTTTTAACTTTTTGAGCCTATAAGATGCTCCAGGTTGATTACAGTACATTCTCGGTCTCAGTTCTAGAATCAGTCGATTCTCCGTGGGGCCCTGGTTCCTTTTACTGGAGAATGAATGGTATTAGAAGCAAAGATCTGGGCACTGGGTGGAGCTACAGATTTTTCCATTATGTAAGCCAATTCATCCACCTCCTATTTCTTCCCTTAAGTCGACTGTATCTGACTTTTCTGTCACTAGAGACAGAAGCATTTTTAGTTAACAGGTACAAAGATATAAAAAGAGCCTGACCATCTTCCTTCACCTTGTCAATTTCGATTGATAACTGCCCTCATCTAAATCCTCTTTCCACCCGGGGCAGGCTTCTCCCATCACGTGTCAGAGAAAGCCCAGGACGCCACACAAGCAGCCAGCTGGTTGAGGGACTTGCCCCGCGCGCTCGCGCATGTCCCTCTGCTGTCGCCCTCTTTTCTCCCACAGGTCTGCGTTCCGTGTGCTCGTGTCCCCCTTCCTCTCTTCCGGCTCTCAGCCCAAGCCCCTTACACCAGAGCCGACTTGGAAATCTAGCCCAGTGTGGACCAGATACAGACACTGCCTGGCTCTTGCTCTTCCTGAAAAGCTAGCGGGGGTGCGCGCTATGCCACACAATTCACCCCGTAGGGCTCAGCCGCACCCCTTCAAAGGTTATAGTCCACGTTTCTTAAAAACTTAAAAAACACCTTTCTTAGTGGGACTTCCTCTCAGGCCATTCTGTTCCTTTCCTTCATAGAACATATTTGCAGTTATGTATTCGTTTTGTCTACTTGTTCCTGCTTATACCTCTCTGTACACTGTGAGCTCTGCCGGCGAAGAGGAGGGTCTAATTCTCCACTGTACTCCAAGCCCTGTGCAGAGCAATGCTTGGCACACAGCAGGCACTGCATAAATGCTCACTGAATGCACATATCAATGAATGATCAGTCCTGGATCCACAGCCCCCTCACTCTCTTAGGATCTGGAGGAACCAGTCATGTCTTACCCCAGATGGAAGAGAAAGGTGCGAAGGAGACTCGGATAAGCGAGTAAATAATGCCATCTAGAGTAGGAGAGAGGGTCAGAGTGGCTCCTGGAGACACGCCTTTGAGCGGGGGCTTGGAGATGCTCAGTCCCCCAGGCAGACACGGAGGCAGGTGCCGGAGCTCTGGGAACAGCGTTCCCGGCAGCACGGCAGCTGTGAGCAAAGCCACAGAGATGTGACAGGGCGTGCACGGAGATGGCAGGCCTAGAGTAGCTCCAGGGAAGAGTGAAGGACTGGTGGAGCGCCCAGGGGTGGCAGGGGTGAGCCTCTGAGGGTTGCAAAGCATGGAAGTAACATATTCTGATCTGAGTTTTGGAAGATTGTTTGGCAGATGGAGGAGAGAGGGGGAATGGAGGCGGGAATCCCGGCTGCGCTGGGGTGCTGAGGCTAAGGCCAGCTCCCGGGTGCGG